AGGGCAACGAAGCTGGTGAAGGGTCTGGAGCACAAGTCTTATGAGGAGCGGCTGAGGGAGCTGGGGTTGTTTAGTCTGGAGAAGAGGAGGCTGAGGGGAGACCTTATTGCTTTCTACAACTACCTGAAAGGAGGTTGTAGCCAGGTGGGGGTCAGTCTCTTCTCCCTAGTAACCAGTGATAGGACGAGAGGAAATGGCCTCAAGCTGCGCCAGGGGAGGTTTAGGTTGGATATTAGGAAAAACTTCTTCACCGAAAGGGTAATCAGGCATTGGACCAGGCTGCCCAGGGAAGTGGTTGAGTCTCCATCCCTGGAGGTATTTAAAAGACGGGTAGATGTGGTGCTTGAGGACATGGTTTAGTGGTGGACTTGGCAGTGCTAGGTTAACGGTTGGACTTGATGATCTTAAGGGCCTTTTCCAACCTTAACGATTCTATGATTCATAGCACAGTGGCAATAAAACACATAAGCCTTGGGTTCCAGTGTATCAAAATAGCCTCTAACTCTTCCTTCTTAGGACCAGGCTTATGTTTTATTCCATATGCTTTGGACTGGCTAGCTCCAGCTCCTAAACTACTGGAGGCAGAGCAGGCTCAACTATTAGAATTAATGAGATACATGGGGTTCTTAGGAATGTAGAGTTTCTTTGTGCTCATCCATTGCTCTCTCAAGTTGATGGCATCTGATCTGTAAGGGAAAAATTAACTAGAGCTATGAGAGAGGATGTTTCTTGCTCAGTCATCTGAGCTGCAAAATTTTTAATTTAGGAGTGTATTCTGAGGAGGTATTGTTAGATTAGAAGAATGGGTAAAGCATCTTTCCTGAGCTGCTTAATACTGTCTGATACAGATCCTAGGCTAGATGGCCTTTGGTTTGATCAGATTCTCATGTTTTGGAGACTAAGAGCTCCAGAATTCATTACAAAGATTGCAAATGGTCTGTAATGGTCTGAGCCTTGCTACAAATGGGGAAGATGGCACTGTTTGTCCACTGTACACAATGTCTATATTTGTGAGTCAGTCAATAGGTTTGTAAATTGTTAGCATGGTTACTGGCACAGTTTTGTCCCAGACAAACTAGCATTTTTCTAAACAGTTCCTAGACATGATTGAAGTTTACTGTGATAAGGAACTATTTCCAATTGGCGGGTTGAATGTATTTGATCTGTTGTAGAGGGTACTAGAGCAATGTCGTGTCAGTTAGTAGTGATTAAATAACAGGCTCTAGCCCATTTGATTTACACCTAGTATAGATGTAATTAGTGAGTTCAAGCTGTTTGGACAAGTTAGCACTTTTCATAAATGTTGTCTTTTTGTCTGACACAAAGGAATATTTTTCTGTCCACACTCTGATTCAGACAATTTCAAATATCTCTTTAGGTCTTGTGAAACATGGTGGGTACAGCATCATGTGATCTTACTTCAGCTGTCTTAATGCAGGGGCAGTCTTAGCTGCAGTTTGGATCTGTTAAGAAGCATGCAGTCCACCTTTTGATAGATCTTCTTTGTTCGGAAGTCTTTGTCTTTGCTTTGAGGTCTAGAATTGATTCCGCTCTTGGGAGTCACACTGGACCCAGTGACAGTGAGGGCTTTCTTATCTTGAAGGGACTTTATATTGTCCAGTGCTCTCCACACACAGTGAAGACCTCCTTAGCTCTTTTATGAAAGGTGATATTGTGTGCCTATGTGATGCTTCTTATCAGACTACATATGTTATCCTTACAATCTTATCTATATTTGGCAATTTTCTTAAGTAGTAGTCCGTTATTTGCATGTTTCAGGCCTCCTGTAGGTGAGATACTCCATGTTACAGTGGCGGGATCTGCCCTTTGTTTGTAGAGAAATATCCAGTGTTTCATTAAGAAGCATACTTCGTTCGAGGTTTTTCTCCTCTCTTTAAGACAGCAGTTTACCTTTGGAACTAGTACAGCAAGAATGTACTTTTGTCAATGATTTTATTTTATGTCTCCTGTAGTGTGAATATTTTCAAATACAGAATAGGACATTTACCCTATTAGACTATGACTGGAAGATTTCAGTTGTCTTGAGGACTGTCTTTCAGGATGGGTAACGTCTCATATATTTTTGCCTATTACAAGGAAGCATTGTATGTATCGCTTTTGAGAAAAAAAAAGATGTCCCAGCTCTCTGAATGCATTCCTGTTTGTCTGGTCAAAAGGCCTGGTATATGCCTTTCTTCAGTTTTTGCAGCAATTCCAGTGGTCCTGATCAAATTAAGACAAGTTCGAACATTGATCGCCTTGATTGTTGTAGGTCAGCCTAGATAGTTCTGATATCAGGATGATACTGTACTGTGTGAGGACTGCCTTTATGCTTGCACCTACTAGGACAACCATCTGGAATCCTGGTCTACCTCAGTCATACTCCTTTCCAATGATTTTTGGATTATTTATTGAGCTAATAGCCTGATAGCTCCTTTGGAGAGAAGGATTTCACTTAGCATATCTTCACCTAGCAGTCCACACTGTAGGGACTTTACTTCCTTGGGGAGTTCACAAGAAGGCTTCTAACAGTGAAACTCTAAGTCCTTGGGACTTAAGTCTGGTGTTTAGACTGGATGCGTCAACCCTTCAAGCTGACAAAGATCCTCTTATGTTACACTTTTGTAATAAAACATTTTTTTTTTCTGCTGCTGATAGCTTCTGATCAGAAAGTATGAAAGAAGTTTATCCATTTATTAGGTTCATTTAGGATAGGTATCCTTACAGACCTATCCTAATTTATTTCTGATACAATGTCGGAATTTCACCTTCACTAGGAGATGAGCCAGCCTGTTTTGTTAATTTTTCTTTAGCCTCTTGCATGTATGGCCAAGAATGTTCTTTGTTTCTTGATGTCAAAGGGTTGTTTCTTATGTAGATTATACCAGACCATTCTGAGGGTCCTTTAGGATGTTCGTATTAGTTTCTGATGAGTCCAGAAGAATATCCATTTTCCTGCAGAAATCATCAAAGTTGCCAATTCATTATCTATAAAACAGCCAAGTAGGATTTGCTTTCTATCGTAAGAACTAAGAATCAAGCTATGTCTTGAGAAGTACTTACTTCACTGCTAGCTGCCAAATAGCTACCTTGAGTGCTAGCCATTACTTTTTTAACCATTGCACCCTTGCAGAGGCATACAGGACTGCTAGCGGCACTTGTAGACCTGTAGCATTACTTGCACGAAGGGTCTTGACACCAATCTGCAGAAGATTATCACTGGATAAAATAATAATTTTGGAGTTACTCGAATTGCGAACGTACATGTGAAATACCACTTGTGGACAGATAAAAAAGGGAAGCAATTTACCAGCATCCAGAATTAGTCAAGGTGTATGTACAGTATACACTTGTGTAACGTGCGTGTTTTCTTCCTGCCTTCATGTTATTCCTGCACTGGGATTCTGCAACTAAGGAAACATGCCAAGCCTAAACACTCCCTCTTTTTTTTTTAAACATTTATGTGCACTTTCTGTGATTAATACAAGTAGAATAATCTTCTAGGGTTTTAAGTGATTATGGTGTATATATGTATGTGACTATACTTCTCTAAAATTATACAGCTAAGCAGACTTAGATTAACTGTATGTCTGCTTCTTGCTAATTAACACCGTTCTGTGGGTTATATTGCTGCTTTTCAGGCATTGGGTACAGCCTGTGCATCTGAAGAAAATGGACATGAGCCTATTCTTTTCATGCTTGTTTTGAATGTATTTTTGCCATCTTGGGTTAGTAAGATTCAAGGCATTGCTAAATTCTAGTATTTTATTTAAGGCTCTGGAAAAAGCAAAAGAGGCTGGAAGAAAGGAGAGAGTATTGGTGAGACAACGTGAACAAATTGCTACTCCAGAAAACATCAACTTAGACCTCACTTACTCAGTAAGTGCTTAGAAATCTTCAGTGAGTGAAAGGTGTTGGTAGCAAACCTCCTAAAGAGACATTTCAGTGTTTTGCTGAGTGTGTGTGTGTTGTAATGTTCCTAGCAGTGTACCAGATCAGATATGGTAGGATTTACGTTCTGGTTTTCAAATTGATAGTAGACTTTTTTTTAAAAAAAAAAAAAAGGATACAACATACGTAAAAATACTTAGGGGGAATTTCAGGTTGTACTCCTGGTAGTGCTGTAGAGAAAGTTATTAACAATGAATACATTGAGTTAAGCAGACCTAGTAATTTACTTTACAGTGAAGGTTAGAGTAAAGCTGGGGGGAAAATGTGGAGGTATTTTACCTGACACCAACAGAACTCCTGTTTTGAAACAGCAGTTTGGAAAATTTTCTCTTCATAAACTGAGTGACCGCAGGTAGTAGGACCATTTTCCACATGTTGGGAGTCATAAATTATGCACAGTTTCTGAGAATTAACTCGTATGAATGTTTTTTAATACTCTTGAATTATAACATTGTGTTTACTTAGGTTTAAGGCCCACTTAGCATGACTTTTAATGGTAGTTATTTAAGTACAAAAATAAAAGAATTACCTAGAACAAGTAGATTTGAAACTTGTTTTCTCTATGTCAGTGTACAAGAACAAAGATCAAAGATTTTCATTAAAGATGGGAAGCTTAAAACTGGTAAAAGCAATGCTTCCAAGGTAAATTAATTGGAAACTATCTATTATGAATTCAGGTTTATTACTGTTGAGAGAACAACGTTGTTTTCTTGTACCTGTAATTCCATTTTTCTATAGGTCCTTTTTAATCTGGCCAGTCAGTATGCTGCTAATGAAATGTATGCTGAAGCACTGAATACTTATCAAGTTATAGTGAAGAATAAGATGTTCAGCAATGGAGGTAGGTTACATTCCAAAGTGGATTAAAATTGGTAGTCAGGCATTCAAAATAAGGACTTCATCTGCATGGTGTTGACTGACAGAGATCTCAGCCCTCATGTCTGCCAGTCAGAGTGGATGACAGATACTCATAATCTCTGACTTGGTATAACTTAATATGATTTGGCTCTCCAACTCATGAAGTCTTTTCTTTACATAGGCTAAGCTAAACATAAAGCCAAATATATCATTTCCTCATGCAGCACACACTATATTGTCTGCTCTAATATTATTTTTTTTTCTTTAGACTCAGCTTTCCCCTTCTGAAGGCTTCTTTTAGTATTTTGTACATCTTTGAGACTCCTACAGTGCACTTTTATCAGAGATGCTTATTTGCAGCTGCCTTCCTGGAGAGGACTATAAATAATCTCTACCTCATCCCTTAATTCACAATCAAAATCAGAATACGTCTTATGTTGATAGTTCTTTTCTAGGTTTCATTACTACTTCATCTCTTTCTGAGTGAAAATTCACAGAAGGCTGTTTTGTGCAGTGCTTCTTTAAAGGGCCACTGGTACCCTATAATGAAGACAAATTTATTAAGAAGTTGTTCTACTCTGTCACTTTGAAACAATTGTAAAATGCTGTAACTATGCTTTAAAAGGCTTATTGACTTCTTTTGAAAGGTAGACTGAAGGTGAATATGGGAAATATATATTTAAAACAACGGAACTATTCCAAAGCTATCAAGTTCTACCGTATGGCTCTAGACCAGATTCCTAGCGTCCACAAAGAGATGAGGTGAGTTTCTGCTAGTAGGCATGGTTCTGAAATAGAAGTTTTGGATACAGCATGATTTGACAGTTAAAAATATAACCTAATCCTGATTTCTTTATTTAGGATTAAAATAATGCAAAATATCGGAATTGCATTTATTAAAACTGGCCAATACGTTGATGCCATTTCTTCATTTGAACATATAATGAGCACGTCTCCAAACCTGAAGGCAGGCTTCAACTTGATCCTATGTTATTTTGCTATTGGAAACAGTGAGCAAATGAAAAAAGCCTTCCAAAAACTGATTGCAGTTCCCTTGGAAGTGGATTATGATGACAAATACATTTCACCAAATGTAAGTTTGAACAAGATAAACTGTATCTTTTTATGGTAAATCAGGAGAAAGGGGGAGAGACATTGAATGCTTGGACTATACTGAATATGTAAATCCATGTGTATTTACATATCTAAAATAACTTTTTTTTTTTTTACCAGCATGAACTTAGTGTGGCAGTACTGCTCAGAAGTATAAAATAATGTCGAGAACATTCAAAATTTTTTTTTCCTCAAAAGATACGATGTACATAAAATCCACACCACATGATTGTCTTCATAACAATTTTGTTGAAATTCATCTGGGCTGACTTACATAGCTCACTTACTGCTTTGCCTCCTTTATTTATATAAAATTTTAATAAATTATTTATAAGCTAAAAGAAAGGGAGCAAAGGAATAAGTGAGTTAGTGCAAGTTATCTCAAATGATTGCTAATAAAACTTGTAATACTGTAGTGTTATTTTACAGAAGAAAATTTTAGTAAAGTTTACAGATGCTTATTTTAATTTCTTAGACTTTGTTGGAAACTGGACTTCCTTTGTACAATGAAACCAGCAGCTCATGATGTTAAAGACAGGAAAAAGTGATTGATAGGCTTAGGGTCCCTCTTAGAAAGGTCCTCTATAGAGAGATCAAGGCAAGCCCTTTATATTCTCTTAGCAATCTTTTTTTCAGTGATGCAAAGCTTCCATTTTCAGTCCTAAAGATCAAACATACAATTAGTTTTCAAACTATTTGCAGCTTAAGAGTAGCTGTTGCTTCCTATTGTCCTAGCATAAGCAAATAAAATTTAATATATGAAGCATATATATTTATATTTATTGATAAATATGTATATAATTTCTTATGTATTTTTATATAAAATTATATTTTTATATACATATATATATA